CAGCAGCTCTGTCCCCCTCCCCAGGGAGGAGCTGGATGAAGTCCTGAGGGACTGCTTGGCTGGTGCATCTCCCAACGTGGGGGGAGAAGGGACTGCCCCTGGGGAAGGGGCTGGTGACCAGGGCCCTGGGGCAGGGCAAGGCTGGGCTGTACCTCAGCGTCTCCTTGATAATGGCCCGAAGCATTGGCATCTTAGGGATATCCTCAGCACCAGGAAACCGGTCAGCAGGCACAACAGCTTTCAGCTCCTGGTACAGGGCCTCCTGGATATCCAGATCCCGGGAGAGGTGGTACAGGGCCCAGGACAGAGTGTTGGAGGTCTGGGAGAGAGAAATGCCATGGGGAGTGAGTGAGATAGGGTCAGTACCTGAGAAGTCTTGTGTCAAGCATGGCACCAGTACAGCACTACACAGCCTTTGCTCTGGTCTGGAGAGAAGACAGGAGTGAAGGGCAGTGAGCATGGGGGAAACTGAGGCAGGGAGCAGGGCAGGGAGCAGAGCAGGGAGCAAAGGCTGTATTGACTGATCATTGAGGGTTTGCTCCTGTCAGGTATCAGAACTCCAACCACCTGCTGAGAGTTCACAGGGGCTGGGGAGTGCAGCTGAACATGGCCCCGTGGTTTCCCCCACCCTGGCATGGAGCTTGGGGGATCCCCTGGCTCTCACCGTGTCCACGCCAGCCAGCAGCAGCTCGGCCACGCTGCCGTAGACCTCGTCCAAGCTGAGCCTGCCACTGGCCAGCAGGTAGCTCAGGTAGCCAGATACCTCCTTGCCCCTCTCTACCTGCCCCTCCAGCTCCTCCATCTTTCGGTCAATCAGGGTCTTGCCTGCAGGGACAGACAGCAGGACCCAGCGCTGACAAAGCGAGGGTGGCCAAAAGGACATGTGGTCAGAGACTGCTCCACGTTTGAGGATCCTTAGGGAGTCAGATCTCGCCATGCCAGGCCCCCATAATCAACCACTCACCAAAGGCAAAGATGGTGTCCCAGCTGTCCAGGTAGCGGTCCCAGAAGGGCAGGACCTTGCGGCTCCATCGGGGCAGGACAGTGGCGAAGATGGAGTTCTTGAACATGAGGTTGATGGAGTCGATGAAACGCTGAGTCTCGGCAGGGACCTGCTGCTTCAGGCACCCAATGCGGGTCTCGAAGAGGATATAGGAGATTCCTGTGGGGGACAGGCCACATCCAGACCCCCGTGGGGATGGGAATAGTGGGCAGGGGCGAGGGACAGGACCCCCGTACCTTCCAGGGCAAAGCGGTAAAGCAGGTTGGCCACGTCCCCAACCAGTACCCCCGAGGGGCTGCGGCTCCGCTCGTCCCGCAGCCGCACCATCAGGTCCGACACCACCTCCCCGATGGCATCGGCGTACAGCACGGCCTCCGAGGGCTTCAGCAGCCGCTTGTTGAGGACCTGGCGCAGGCGGTACCAGCGCTCCCCTTCCCTGCGCAGGGACGGGGCTCAGCGCCAGGGCACAGAGCAGTGCCTGGCAGCAGTTTCCCAACCCGTGGGTGCATCCTGCCCACAGCAGGTTGGAACCACCCTGGGGACCTTTCCACCCTCCCCAGCCCTTCTGTTTGGAGGGGATAGGCTGCTTGCAGGAGAGGGAGTAAAGCAAGCTGCCACCAGGGCTGTACACCCAAGGAAGGGACAGGAGCTGCCTGTCACCCCACAGAGCACAGCCTGGAAAGGACTCACTCAGTGAAGGGTCCATAGGGCAGGCGCCGGGTGTCCCGATGCTCCTTCCACAGGGCCATGTCGCTCCGCATGGGGTACTTGCCCTCCTGCCGTAGCAGCTGCTCCAACACCACTGGGCTCCCGATGTTGATGTTCTCATAATGCCCGAAGGTTGACTTCCAGATAGGGCCGTAAATGCGCCGGGACATCACCTGTGATGCACCAGAGTACGGCAAAGTGAGTGGGATGGGGCCATCACTAGGGCTGGATCAGTCCCTCCCTGCCCCAGTACTGCCCTGCATGTGCCCATTCTGGGGAACCCTCAGCACCAGCTGGGCCCAAGCACTCGCCTCTGACCCACCAAGCTGACACCATCCCTGAAGCCCTCTGCAGGTGATTTGGTCTGGTGTCTCCAGACACAGGTGCCCTGCCAGCACTAAGCACACTAGGCACTGACCCTTAGGACAGGCTGTCACATCCCTCACCTGCCCCAGCAATGCATGGGGGGGCTGGAGGGTCTTTTGGGGAAGCAAGGCCAAGAGGGGACAGCAGGGACAGGGACAACCATCCAGCACAGAGCTCTGCTGAGATGGTCATTGCAGTGATTGTCAGCAGGTCCAAGACCTGTGGCTTCCAGCATGGCCCCAGCTCTGCTCAACCCAGGGACAACAGTCCCTACGTGCGTCCTTGAACCCCCCATTCGATAAGGGTGGTTAATGATCAGTGGTGGGAGGGCAGCATGACTTGGCTGCTCCCAGGGCAGGCTTGCCCCCTGGGGCCACAGGCTCACAAGCCAGGTGTGGAATATTCACCAGCACCAGCCTGCTCTGCATTCTGCCAACCACAGTGCCCCACTCCTTGGCTGCACCCAAGGGTGCCATGCTTGCATCCCTGCTGGGGAGCACTGTGTCTCCTAAAAACACCCTTCAGGGGCAGGTGGGCACCCCTTTGCAAGTAGATCTGCACAGGGCCATGTCCAAGGGGTGCTTTCCATCCCATCTGGGCACTGCCAGAACACTGGCGGAGCAGGGCCAACCCTGGGGGGCTGTGAGTGACCTGGTCCCTATTCCCAGCGGCTGCAGGGATGCACGTGGTACAATCTCCCTTGGTGACTGACTGTATCGCAGCCTGCGCCCGGATTCAGCTGGATTCGTCACCACGGGGAGACGTTCCTCGTGCGTGGTGGCAGGAGGAGGGGGAGGGCAGGGAGCCCCAGTGCTGCAGGCTGGACGAACGTGCTGCGTGGGGCGGCAGGCAGCTGTGCCCAGGTTGTAGCCTGCCCACTGGCATCTGATGGCAGCCAGGACCTGACACGGTGCAGGCCTCACAGAGCAGGACTGAGAGAAGCCGGAGCTGCTGGAATCTGGGAAAAGGCACCTCTGGAGCATGCAGGAATCTGTCTGCAAAGCCGGGCTGTGTTTGAATCCCCAAGGGCAAAAAGGTCCAGCAGGGAGCTCCTGTGCCTGACCCCTGGGATCCCACTGCCCTGAGAAAGCCCCTTCTCCAAACAGCAGTGCCCAGTGCTCTGCGGTGCCAGGAAGGCCTGGTCCTGCATCCTCCTCCTCTGCCCGGTCAGAGCCCCACGGCACTGGGAGGTGCCTCCTGGCTCAAGGCCAGCCAAGCCCATTGCTTGCTTCATCCGACGTATGAGGATGATAGAAGAAAACAAACACTTCTGCCAACCCCTCCCCTGCCAGCCTGGCTACCATCTGCCCAAACACCTTCCTGGCTGCCTGCCCCCAAAACCACAGTCCCTTCAGCTTGTCACAGCTGGGGCAGCTCAGGCTGCCCGGGGAGCCCAGGACCCCGTGAGTTGCCCGTGAAACCTTTGCCCAGCCGGCTCGGGGATGAGGGAGAACCCTCCCAGGGCCACCTGCTTCTGTGCTGGCCCCGATCCGCGCTGCTGGCCCTAACATCACCCGGCAGTGCGGGGGTGCTTCCCGCCGCCCAGCCCCTCCTCCTCTCCCGGCCCC